TCGGTGCCACTGAACCCTCGAGGCCAGGTTTTCCCAAACCAAACATAGGGGGAAAACAAACCTATCTCGCTGTTGACCACCCTCGCTTCCAAGAGATACCAATCGATGCCAAATTGAAGCCTGTACTGGTCAGGCCGCTTGACGAGGAGGCGCGTGATACGGCTTGGTTTTGCCTGGAAGCGAAAGCGGGGTAGGTAATTCACGCTCTGAAAACAGATCTTCCCAAACCAGATGTTGCGGAACCAGGCAGCCGGGTCCTCCCAAACCATACCCCGTGCCTTCGCGAACAAAAAAGAACGCTCCCAAATCAACCGTTCGGGTGTTCCCAAATCAGAAAGGGTCTTCTCAAACCAACCGTCTGGGTCTTCCCAAACTGAACGGGTCTTCCAAAACCATCTGGCCGGATCTTCCCAAATCAACAGGGTCTGCCAAAACCACCCCCCAAGTCTTCCCAAACCAAACGAGTCTTCCAGAACCACCCCCAGGTCTGCCCAACAGGTCTTCTCAAACCACCCCCTGGGTCATCCCAAACCAACAGGGTCTTCCCAAACCACTCCCGTGGATCTTCTCGCCTAGCTCTCGCATTAGTTTCGCAATCGTCTCTGTCCTCGTTTCCACCCTCGTTCCCGCCTTCGTTCTCGCCTTCATTTCGCCCTCGTCTCCGCGCTCGTTCTTGCCATTGTCCTCGCCTTCATGTCGCCTTCGTCTCCGCAACATTTGTCGCCTTCGTTCCGCCTTATTATCGCTCCGTTTCCGTCCTCGTTCGTGCCTTCGTGTTCGCCTTCCTTTTGCGTTCGCTTCGCCTTCGTTTCCGCCCTCGTTCCCTCCTTCGTTCTCGCCTTCGTTTCGCCTTCGTCTCCGCCCTCGTTCTCGCCTTCGTTCTCGCTTTCGTGTCGCCGTCGTTTCCGATCTGCTCTCGCGTTCGTTCTCGCCTTCGCTTCGCCTTCGTGTTGCTCTCGTTTCCACCCTCGTTCTCGCGCCTTTCTGCTCGCCTTCGTTTCGTGTTCTGTTCGTTCTACTTGCCGCTCTCGTTCTCGCCTTTCGTTTTCGCTTTCGTATCGCCTTCGTTTCGCTTTGGCTTCCAAACTCTTTCCCGCCTTCATCGTCGTCGACGTCGTCGTCGTCGCCGTCGTCGCCGTCGACGTCGTCGTCGCCGTCGTCGCCGACGTCGCCGTCGTCGTGGTCGCCGTCGTCGTCGTCGTCGTCGTCGTCGTCGACGTCGTCGTCGTCGTCGCCGTCGTCGCCGTCAACGTCGTCGCCGTCGTCGTCGCCCACGTCGACGTCAACGTTGTCGTCGTCGTCGTTGCCGTCGACGTCGTCGTCGTCGTCGCCGTCGTCGTCATCGTCGTCGCCGCCGCCGTCGCAGCCGTCGTCGTCGTCGTCGTCGTCGTCGCCGCCGTCGTCGTCGTCGTCGTCGTCGTCGTCGTCGTCGTCTTCGTCGATGTTGTCGTCGTCGCCGTCGTTGTCACGGGTGGATACCCCTTCGTATTTAAGGTGAAGGCGCACCTCCGGAACCCAGACATCCACTGTTGCCTTGCTGGCGACGTGGGCACCCAGGGTTCTAGACCCTTGGCCCAGGGCAGGTTTTTCGTCCCGAGTCGTCTTTTGACGGTCCCGGGGCCTGTTGAGGGCCCCCGAAGCCTGGCGCACGCGTGCCAACTCGATGACGCATCATACTTTAGTATTCCGCCCGCTCGATGTGATCCTCCCGTCAGGGTCCGCCCGCCCGACCCGACCCGCCCGCCCGACCGACCCTTCCGTTAGGGCGCGCGTGTGCCAATTCGATGATGCAAACTACGTTAATGTCCCGCCCGCCCGACCCGACCCCCCCGTTAGGGTCCGCCTGCCCGACCTGACTTGCCCGTCAGGGTGCGCCCGCCAGACTCGGTTCGCCTGCCCGACAGACCGTCAGGCCGCAGTCGCGCCAACTCGTTACTCGCGTGCCCCGCCCGCCCGACCCGACCCGCCCGTTAGGTCCGCCCGTCCGCCCGTTCGACCCAACTCGCCCCTGTTCTCATTCTCGTTTCCGCCCTCGTTTCCGATCTCCTTCGCGCCTTCATTCTCATTGTCGTTTCCGCCCTCGTTGCCGTTTCGGTGGGGGGGAACTCTGCCAACCGCCTGCTCCGCCCGGGAATTGAGGAGCGTCGACTGGGCAGTGACCGCAGCCCAGACGCTCAAGGTTCACAACTGCTAGTGGCTGCAAGTTGCCCGACGATGAAAGACCTGGCGTTCCGCGATGACAGAACCACGCGTTGTCAGAAACCAGTACCGAAGCTGATGCGATTGAAAGTACATGCACGTTCAGTCGCCGCTTCGGTGATCGCGTCATCCATTCACTCATTCCCCGCACTCGTGTTGTTTTAGTTGTTCACGCGCGGGTGGCAAGCCATCTTTGACGAGAAGCCTGAGGGGAACCCAATGGACCTGTCTCACCCATTGCTCCTCGCCTTGGGCTTCCAACGGCCGTGTTTCGCTTTCGTTTCCGCCCTCGTTCTCGCATTCGTTCTCGCCGTCGTGCCGCTCAACTTTCGCCTTCGTTTCCGCACTCATTCTCGCCTTCGTTCTGGCCTTGGTTTCGTTCCGTTTCGCCCTCGTGTCCGCTCTTGTTCTCGCCTTCGTTATCACCTTCGTTCCGCTTTCGTTTAGAGTTTGTTTCCGTCTCGTTCTACCATTGCGTTCGCCTTCAATTCGCGTTCGTTTCGCCTTCGTTTCCGATTTCGGTTTCGCTTTCGTCCTCGTCTTCGTTTCTCTTTCGTTTCCGCCCTCGTTCACGCCTTTGTTCTGGCATTCGTTTCGTCTTCGTTTGTCTTTGTATCCGCACTCGCTTCCCGCCTGCGTCTCGCCTTCGTTTCGCCTTCGTTTCGCTTTCGTTTCCGCTCTCGTTCTCGCCTTCGTTCTCGCCTTCGTTTCCCTCTCGTCTCGTGTTCGTTTCAGTCTCGTTCCCGCTTTCGTTCTCGCCTTTGTTTCGCTTTAGCTTCCGCTCACGTTCTCGCCTTGTTGTCGCCTTCGTTTGGCCCTCGTTTCCGTTCTCGCTCCCATCTCTATTTTCGCATTCGTTTCGCCTCTGGGTCCGCCCTAACCAAGTGGTAACCGAGACTCCGGGTCCTACCAAACCAACAGCGCTTTCCCAAATCAAGCGGGTCTTGCCAAACCAAGCCCCGAGGTCTTCCCAAACCAACGGGGTCTTCCCAAACCACGCCCTCGGTCTTCCCAAACAAACGGGGTCAGCCCAAACCAACCGGGTCTTCATGCTTTTTCTGGAAGCGGCTTGGCGAGGGAACGGGGGGAGGACGCCGTCTTCCACCAGGCACCAGGCTGGGAGGAGGGGGAGCGACACTGGCCAGCAAGGGAAGGGCGGGCATTGGAAGAGAAACCAAGGATAGAAGACCGAGAGAGCAACAAGAGAGAGAGAGAGAGAGAGAGAGTGAAGTCCGCTGCCCTTCAAGAGGGCGATCCTCCCAATGGAAATCGACCATTCAAGTGGCACAGGCGATCATCTCTTCGTGAAAGCTGGTGTAAGCGAGCCTTGGCATGCTTCCGCAGCCGGGCTGGAGTAAAAGAAGTGTGTTTCAAGTCATGGTAGGCTTTACTACATGGCGGATTTCGGGAACCCTGTACCCAAAAACGTGTTCATCTCTTGGACGCGCTTTTTTTACTTCCGCCGCCTTCCGCCGAGTTTCTGCCGGCTTCCGCCGGCGGAGGCGGCCTCGTTTTACTTCCGCCGACCTTCCGCCGCCTTCCGCGGCGGAAGAGATGGCAACTCATTGGATCCTCGAAGGCGAGGCCTTTTTTGGAACGCCCCAGACATGTCCAGGGCTGAATATACGGAGACTGGGGCCTCATGGGGCATAAAGAGGAGGAGGGGGGGAGGGGGACGAGAAGGACAAGGCGCACCAGGACGAACGCTGTCAGGAGGACCGCCGCGACGAGAATTTCGTCTTCGTTCTCGCCTTCGTTCCGGTTTCGTTTCGCTTTCGTTTCCGCCCTCGTTTTCGCGTTCGTTATCGCCTGCGTTCCGCTTTCGTTTCGCCTTCATTCCCACTCTCGTTCTCGCATTGGTTCTCGTCTTCGTTTCGTTTCGTTTCGCCCTCGTTTCGGTCTTGATCTCGCGTTCGTTCTCGCCTTCGTTTCGCTTTCGTTTCGCGTTTGTTTTCGTCTCGCTCTGGCCTTGGTGTTCGCCTTATTTTCGCCTTCGTTTCCGATCTCGTTCTCGCTTTCGTCCTCGCCTTCGTTTCGTCTTCGTTTCTCATTCGTTCCCACCCTCTTTCACGCCTTTGTCCTCGCCTTTGAATTCGGTTTGTCTTCGTTTGTCTTTGTATCCACCCTCGTTTCCCGCCTTCGTCTCGCCTTCGTTCCGCCTTCGTTTCGCTTTCGTTTCCGCTCTCGTTCTCGCCTTCGGTCTCGCCTTCGTTTCGCCCTCGGTTCGTGCTAGTTTCCGTCTCGCTCCCGCCTTCGTTCTCGCTCTCGTTTCGCTGGCCCTCATTTTCGTTATCGTTCTCTCTTTCATTATCGCCTTCGTTTCGCTTCCGGTACCGTCCAAACCAAGTGGTCTTGCCTAACCAACCCCCCGGGTCTTCCCAAACCTACCGCGCTTTTCCAAACCAAGCGGGTCTTGCCAAACCAACCCCCTGGGTCTTCCCAAACCAAGCAGGTCTTCCCAAAAGCCAAGCCCCCAAGTTTTCCCAAACCTAGGGGGCCTTCCGAAACCAACTGGGTATTCCCAAACCAACCAAGTCTTCCCAAACCAAAGCCCCGGGTCTTGCCAAACCAACCGGGTCTTCCCAAACCAAACCCCACGTCTTCACAGACAAACCGGGTCTTCCCAAACCAAACAGGTCTCTCCAAACCATCTCAAACAAACCGGGTCTTCCAAAACCAATCGGATGCTCCCAAACCAAGCCCAAGGTCACCCTAACCGAGGGTTTGCTTTGGGAAGGCCCGTTTGGTTTAAGAAAGACGCCCCCCCACTGGAGCCTCTTTCCGCGGGAACAGGCGGCGGCATTGTAGTAAAGATGTCGCTGGGCTCCAACTTCGCCTCCCACATCTCGCAGAGCAGCGCCAGCGCCAGCTGCCACTGCTCGCCCTTCTCGCACGCGCTGATCCCAGCGTTGTAGCTTACTCTTGTGAGCCCGTGGCCAATCCACGGCTGGCAGATCAAGGCGTCGGTGCCGAACGCGCGCGTGTCGCCAATCGCAGACAGCACGTGCGCGCTCGGGACCGACAGGCTCTCGGGTTCCCAGACATGCGACGTTCTGATTTTTTCAGTGCGGGGTCCCTGGAAATCCCGACCCTTTCCCTGGGACTGGTTTCTCATCCTGAATCGTCTTTTGAGGTCCCCGAGGCCCGGCGAGGGCCCCACGAGGCCGAAGTTGGCCAAACACCTTCCGCCCTGATGTATATACGACGCGATCATGCCTGGGTTCGCTACAGGCTCAGGGCTCTGGGGCTGGATGCTGCTTGCGAGTGCCTTGGGAGGGAGAAGGACGAGGAGGAGGAGGAGGAGGAGGAGGAGGAGGAGGAGGAGGAGGAGGAGGAGGAAAAGATGAGGGGAGGAGGAGGGGGGGAGGACAGGAGCAGAGGAGGAGGAGGAGAGGAGGAGGAGGAGGAGGAGGAGGAGGAGAAGGAGGAGGAGGAGGAGGAGGAGGAGGAGGAGGAGAGGAGGGGGGGAGGAGGAGGAGGAGGAGGAGGAGGAGGAGGAGGAGGAGGAGGAGGAGGAGGAGGAGGAGGAGGAGGAGGAGGAGGAGGAGGAGGAGGAGGAGGAGGAGAGAGAAGAGGTGGAGGAGGAGGAGGAGGAGGAGGAGGAGGAGGAGGAAGAAAGGAGGAGGAGGGGGAGGAGGAAGATGAGGAGGAGCAGGAGGAGGGGGGAGGAGGAGGCAGAGGAGGAGGAGGAGGAGGAGGAGGAGGAGGAGGAGGAGGAGGAGGAGGAGGAGGAGGAGGAGGAGGAGGAGGGGAGGAGGAGGAGGAGGAGGGGAGGAGGAGGAGGAGGAGGAGGGAGGAGGAGGAGAAGGAGGAGGAGGAGGAGGAGGAGGAGGAGAGGAGGAGGAGGAGGAGGAGGAGGAGGAGGAGGAGGAGGAGGAGGAGGAGGAGGAGGAGGAGGAGGAGGAGGAGGAGGAGGAGGAGGAGGAAGAGGAGGAGGAGGAGGAGGAGGAGGAGGGGGGGAGGAGGGGAGGGGGAGGAGAAGGAGGAGGAGGAGGAGGAGGAGGAGGAGGAGGAGGAGGAGGACGCCGCGTGCGGCCGTTCTCGGCCAGTCCTTGGGAGGACGCGCCGAAGCATTGCAACGAATTGTGGATTGATGTGTGCCTCTGTGGGGCCGTTCTCGGGGTCCCCCTGGGGTCGTCCCTGGGGCCTCTGGGGCAATCTTACGGCCACTCTGGGTTTCTGAATAAGCGTGGGGGGGTACCCCCCCGACGGGGGTCAACCTTGCCTTGTCGTCGCGCCGTGACGCGGGTCGGACCGCCTTCGGCGCACGGTGGCTGCCCACGACGGGGGTCGAAGCGGGGCTGTCGGCGGGGGTGACGCCCACCCCCCGACGCTCATTAAGAGACTCAAGAAGAGTGGGGATCTAGGGCCGTCTTCTAGTCCAGTGTGGGCCATCCTGGGCAGCTCCTGGAGCGTCTTGGGGGGCCAGCTGAAACTCCAATGGGCCGTCGCGGACCTGTCTTGGGCCCGCTTGGGGCCCCCTTGGGCCGTCTCGTTGCGCTCGTCAGGGCCTTTTGGGCCATCGTGGGGGGATCGCGAACATGCTTGAAGCTGCGTGGGGCCGTTCCGGGCCCGTCATCGCGAGAGCGTGGGAAACATTGGAAAACACATTGTCTTTGCTTGATTTCCGGTCTCGTGTCTCGTGGGTCCGTCTTCGAGGTCCTCGTGGGCCCTCTCGGGCCTTACCAGGGGCCTCTTGGGCCATCTGCGGACCATGATGGGGGTCTGGGGCCGTCTGGGAATCTTGTTTGAGCTCTCCTGGGTAGCTCCAGGGGCATCTTAGGGGGAAACCTGAAGCTATGTTGGGCTCTCCAGGGCCTGGTGGGCGTCTTGGGGCCCTCGTTGGCCGTTTTGATGGGCTCGTGAGGGTCTCTTGGGCCATCTCGGTGCGATCTTAGCAGAGCCGACGGCCGTGTGGGGCCGTTCTGGGCCCATCATGGGAAGAACGTGGAGAACCTTGGAACATGTTTTTTTTTCGCCTCGTGGGGCTGTCATCGGGGTCCTCCTGGGACCTCCTGGGCCGTCCCGGGGGCATCTTAGGCCGTCCTGGGGCCTCGGGCCGTCTTGGTGCTCGCTTCGGTGCATGTTGGGCAGCTCCCAGGGCCCTCCTGGGGCTCTATTGGGGGCCACCCGGAGCTCTATGAGGCCGTCCTGGGCTCCGCCTGGGCAGTCTGCGGGCCCTCTGGGGCCGTCTTGGAGCACCTGGCGGGGCCTCCTGGACTGTCTGGGGCCGCCCGCGGCCCAACAATGGGCGAGCACACACGGGAAACCTTCGAACACTCGGAGGATCCGTGATGTGGGCCTCGCGGGACGATCGTCGGGGTCCGGCGGGGCCGTCTTCGGAGGCGCCCGAGGGCCCGTCGTCGGAACCCGCCCTGGGTTGTTATAAGGAGCTCCGCTCGGGCTCTCCTGTGGGGGCGTCCTATCGCGCCCTCCGGAGCGTCTCGGAGCAGTGCCCGGGCTGCCCGAGGGCGCCGTGATGGAGCCACCCGGGAGCTCTCGGGAGCCGTCGGAGGGCGGCGGGGCGCGCTCCGGGCGGTGTAAGGGGCAGCTGGCGCACTGCTGGCGCACTGCTCGCACGCGCCACGGCCAGAATATGTAATACAGACTGGGGCTGGCCCGCGGACTACATCTGCCTTGCGGGGTGCACGGGCGCGGAGGTCGTGCGATCAGGACGGGTGGCGTCACGTCCGCGTCGCGGGGCAGCTGTCGGGAAACCACCGGGACAATCACTGGACAATCACCGGGCAACCGCGGGACAACTTGGAGTCCCGAAACGGTGCGGTGACAGACCGTGCGGAGACCTCGAAGTCCCCCAAGACCTCGCCGCACGGTCCGTCACCGCACGGCGCACGGTCTTGGGGCCCCCGAGGCCCCTGTTGCCCGAGACGTCCTCGGAGAACGACCCGAGTCCCAAAACCGTGCGGTGACCCCGAATCCCCAACCCACTCACCTCGGGAGCGGCCAAGAGGGGGGTGTCCAAGAGGGGGGGCTTGCAAATCGTGACCGGCGGCACGTGCGCGGCCCAGGGGGGGGGCCAGGGACGTACTGAAACAAGAAGAGGCGCGGTGAAATCTGGGGAGATATCACGGCCCACGCCATGATATTCCCCCCCCCCCCAGTCATCACCCCCCTCTTTTCCGCCCCCGATCACCGCACGGTGCGGTCACCACACCGTTCGGGGGCCCCCAAGGCAACTGCGGGCCCAAGCCCGCCGACAGGGAAGGAGGGGAGTCTCTTGCTCGGACTGCGCCCTATGGCAGCGGCGAGGCTCCCCCCTCGCAGCCCGCGCACGCAGCTTCGCCACGCCCTCCTCCTCCTCCTCCTCCTCCTCCTCCTCCTCCTCCTCCTCCTCCTCCTCCTCCTCCTCCTCCTCCTCCTCCTCCTCCTCCTCCTATCCTCCTCCTCCTCCTCCTCCTCCTCCTCCTCCTCCTCCTCCACCTCCTCCTCCTCCTCCTCCTCCTCCTCCTCCTCCTCCTCCACCTCCTCCTCCTCCTCCTCCTCCTCCTCCTCCTCCTGCGCACGCACGCACGCACGCACGCACGCACGCACGCACGCACGCACGCACGCACGCACGGCACGACTACGAAAGCGGCACCGATTTCCCGGTGGCGGGTCGCCATTTCACTTCGATCTCACCCCCCCAACCTCCGATTCATCGTACAGTCGGGGCGTTGACCTAAGGAACCTTAAATAAGGAACGAGGCCCCTGCTTTCCATAAGTTAAACTTCGATTTCCCATCGAAAATATGAGGAAAACCTGAGGCAAGCTGCGAAACACTTAAGGAACGCGGAGCCCCTCCCCAATGAAAAGGGTTCCTTCTTCAGGGCCCAGACTGTACGAAACCGGCACCGGTTTCCCGGTGGCGAGTCGCCATTTCACTTGGATCTCAACCCCCCAACCTCCGATTCATCGCACTCTCACCGCACTCGCTCAGATCCTCTGAGTCACAGGCTCCATGATGTTCGGACTCACGCATGCTCAAGACTCGGCCGCGCCCAGACTCGCTCACACTGAGACCAACTCACACTCAGGGTCATTCACAATCAGACTCACCACTCTCGGACCACTCCTATTCAGATGCAGAGCGCTTGGGCATCTCAAGGGGGAGCCGCCAGGGTGTGTTGCACATGCCTGTTCACTGCCAGATTGGGGGGGCGTCTGACGCGAATCAGACCCGCGTCGCACCCGCGTTTCTTCTCCTCACCCCTTATTCTCCTTCCCGCTCGTACAGTCTAGTCTTACGGACACATACATACCACGCGCACACACACGTCAGACATACACACATTTACAGCCGCGCACACACACACACACACACACACTCACACCTATACAGCGCTAGTAACAACTGCGCGTGGTCGTTGATTGCATCGTACCCGCTTGACGCATGCGTCGTACCGCACCAACATCATCCACAAGCCCCGCAGTGGTTGCGCAATGCGTGGCACGCCGGGCCCCTAAACGCCAGGGGGGTGCGCAGGGGATGGTCCCTGAGCGCGGCCTCGAGACGCCCCAGGCTCGCAGGGCACGGCAGGAGTGGCACATTCTCGACTCCAGAGCGGGTGCGCAGGAGTGCTCCTTGAGCGCGACCTCGAGACGCTCCAGGCTCGCAGGGCACGGCAGGCGTGGCACATTCTCGACTCCAGAGCGGGTGCGCAGGGGGTGGTCCCTGAGCGCGGCCTCTATACGCTCCAGGCTCGCAGGGCACGGCAGGCGCGGCCATTTCGCGACTCCAGAGCGGGTGCGCAGGGGGGGGTCCCTAAGCGCGGCCTCTATACGCTCCAGGCTCGCAGGTCACGGCACGCGTGGCACTTTCGCGACTCCAGAGCGGGCGCGCAGGGGGTGGTCCCGGAGCGCGGCCTCTATACGCTCCAGGCTCGCAGGGCACGGCAGGCGTGGCACTTTCTCTAAACGAGCGCGTTCCACTACTCGCAAAATAGCTACTCGCAAATGGCCTGGATCCGCCGCGGAGGATCTACGACAAATTACACCAAAGCGGACATGTGTTTTTTTCGGACGTTTGCGAGTAGGCACTTTGCGAGTAGTGGAACGCGCCCGGTGATTCTCGATGCCTGAGCGCCGTCCAGAGATCGCCCAGGAGAAGCCAAAGAGCGCGCCGCGGGACCGGCCGGGACGACTCGTCCTCCTCCTCCTCCTCGTCCTCCTCCTTCCCCCCTCCAACTTGAAAACAGGCCCATCATTCGAATAGATATGTTCGGCGGCAAGCGAGGGGGAAAGTGAGAAGTAGAAGGCCCCATCAACAGGCGGCGGGGCTTCTCAGAGCCCTCCCGACTTCCGAGAAGTCCTCTGTGTCTTCAGAGAAGGCCCGGCAGACTTCCCAGAAGGCCGGGGAACTTCCGAGCCTTCTGAGACGGCCCGCCCATCCTCACTTCCGCCCCGGCCTCGCCGCCGATAGATAGATGACGTTGGGCCCCAGCTTCGCCTCCCACATCTCGCTGAGCAGCGCCAGAGACCGCTGCCACTGCTCGCCCTTCGCGCACGCGCTGATCACAGCGCTGTAGCTGACTAGGGCTGGCCCGTGGACTCCCCCGTGGGCTACGTCCACGAAGTCTGCACAAACTGAGATGTGGTGGTGGACATGCTGCCGAAAGGCTGACATGATGACGAGGGGCTCGAATTTCGCATTCCCCGCTTGCTACTGCGTGCTACCACGTGCTGCCGCTGCTGCGTGCTGCTGGTCATGTTTACCGCTGCCGCGCGGTGGTGCTGCCTGCAGGGTGCAGCTGATGGCTGGCTCTGCTTCGTCCGTACTGCTGCCCGCTTCGCGCTGCTGCCGCTCGCTGATGCTGCTTGATGCTGCAGAGTGGTGATGCTTCTCGCTACATCAGCGTTCTGACGCGCAACCTGCTGCGGAGAGGGGATCGAAGATTGAGGAGCCAGGATCGAGAACATGGACGAGATCGAGGGGGAGAAACGATGGGTGATCAGCGGGGGGCGAGGAGCGATGCGGGAAGAGCAACGACCGAGGGGAGATGGGCGAGGAGCGTCGAGGTTCGAAGAGGCTTGCCGTCCCTGTAAACATCTTGCGACTGCCCAGGCCGTCAAGTCGATCTGGGGTGAGAGGCCAATCCGGACAGACCCTCCCCGCAGGATCCGGGAGCCAGTTCTCCAGGGATCTCGTCGATTTTGATCAGCCATTATTTCGACTGTTTGCTGCTAGTGCTTCTTGCAATGAGTTTTTCTTGATTGTAATCGTGTGTTGCTTGCTTTCTGCTTGATGGCTGGCTTTCTTGTTTGCTGCTTACCGACTGCCTGCTTGTTGGCGTGCTGGCTTGCGCCTGCTGCTGCTGATTGCTGCTGCTTGCTTCTGATGCTTGCTACCGAAAGCTGCAATCGGAGTCTCCGGTGTGAATCTAAGCCTTCTCATGTCGTCCTCGAGGCTTCTTGGGATAATTATTTTGGAGCCCGGCTAGGCCTTCGGTGGCGGGGCTGTGGGAGGGTGAGGGAAGTCTTGGGGGCAATGCTGAACAATAAGAAGCGCGCCTTGTTTTATACCATGTTCCATCGTGGCTGCGGCCGTCCGAAGAAGGCTCGGCAGAAGGCAGCAGGCACTTCGGAGCATGCCTAAGGTGGCTAGCGGCTATGAAACTCTCAGGAAGAACTGCCCGGCGGGTCGCCCAGTCAGACCAGAGCCGCTCGAACGACAGGAAGAACCAAATTTCTGGGTGGCCAGCGCGGCCCCAGTGCTTCTTCAAGGATCTACCGTCTGAAGCGTTTTGGAGGCGGTTTTGGGGGGTGTCTTGGGGCTTAGAGGGGGCCGCTTGGAGCTTGAGCCTCTTCGGGGCCTCCTGGGGGGCCCCTTGGGACCTGATTTGGGCCTCCTCGGGACCTTCTGGGGACTCCGGGGGGCCTCTTGGGGGCCTGTCGCGGGGGTCATCTTGGGACGGATGACGCGGAATGTCAGGTCGAGTTCCCCTTCTGTTGGGACCCTCTTGGGTCACCCGTGAGGCTGTCTTGGGGGCTGCTTGGGTGGTTTGTGGGCGCTCTGGGGCCGTCTGGGGGTACTCTCGGGGGCCTGCTGGGTCATGTTGGGGCGATCTTGGGGGTTGGGCCGTCTCGAGGAAACTGAATAGTTTGGGCATCTCGGGCCCTTCTCGGGGGGCCTCTGGGAGCCCTCTTGGGCCGTCTTGGGGCCCTGCTGGGCCGTTTGAAAACTATCTTGGCGACCACTTGGGCCGTCTGGAGGCGTTTCAAGCCATCTTGGGCCGTCTCGGAGCCCGCCGGGGCCGATTTTGGATGCTTGTGTCCGCCACCCTTCTGGCACGAGCTTCTCCCA